TGGATTGCTATATATGATCAATAAAAGCAGGGCATGTGGCATGATCATCAAAAAAAAAAAAAAAAAAAAATTAATATAATTTTTATATATCTGTCTAACAAACAACTCTTTTCGATGATTACCAAAACCAAAATTCCTACTAATAAAAAAACATACTTTTTGCTAGAGAGTTGGAGCCTATGCAGCGATTTGTTTAGAGATTAATAGTTTTGCTTACGGGACTCCTCTAAAGGAATATTTGGCATGCAAACCAGGAGCGTTCTTATACAAGATAACTGGCAGAAGGTGTCCTTGTATAAAAAATCTTGGTGAAAGGTGGGTAAAGCCCAACTTTGTTGACAAAGCTTCTAGGCCATTACTTCAAAGAAAAATACAAAGAAACAACAAGAAATATGTTTTTTTTAAGCCACTCTCTTTTATTTGATTAAGTGGTTCCTTTTTTACTCTCTCTCGTCTCCTCATCGGTCTTCGATAAAATGTGGGAATTTGGCTTACTCTCTTCAAAAGATCAGCATTGTTTATTCCCCAAATTTGGACAGACTAGCGGAATGCAACCACATGTTTGTTTATGGACAGATACAGTGCTACTTCATGGGACTCGGCCTAGGAACTCTAATTACGACAATAGGTGGCTTGAGTTACAGGTCCTTTTTGGGTTAGAGTAAGTGTAACTCTCGGACAATGGCAGCACTTGGCTCAAGATACGAATTAGAATAGACAACGAAGTGATTCGGAGTTGGTAGGAAGATCGAAAAGTAACTTTAACACCAAGGTGAAGCTTTATAGAAGAGATATACAAATATTGCATTTGCTATACAATTTTTACCAGCCTTGCATGGGTTATAATAGTGTCTTTAGGATCTTAGATTTTTTTTTATGTTTTTTCTTTTTTGCAATCTGTTTTTCTTTTTTCTTGCTTTATTAGTTTTTTTTTTGTTGGTTGTTTTTATAGTTTCTTTGTTTAAACTTTTCTCTCTTTTGTCTTGTGCCCCTTGAGAAGAAGGAAGAATTTGAAGGGAAAGTGAGGTCTTGACATGTTGAGAGCTAAGCCCAAGCTATATTATATCTTTAAATGCGGACACCATATGTGGGGTATAGTAGCAATCATCAGTGCGATAACCAAAGTTGGGCATCTTTAAGAGATAGCCGACTTTTAGTCTAATCAACTATTAAGTAGTTTGGTACTTGTATTAAACATTCAAATCTTAATAAAATTTTAGTACGTAGTTATCAAAGAAAAAATATATATATATATATATATCTGTATAAATCTATACTGCTATATAGTACTATTTTACTAAATATCTAAAAATTATATTTGGCCAGAATTACTATATACATATATATATAAATTATTTGTAAGTTATATAAGCTAAAGTAAAGTTGTTAAAATATAATTTACATGTAAGTTATACTGTAATTTACTATAACTTACTTGGTGTTATACTTAAAATCATTTTGTACTTATATTTTTATTTTCTTATTATTCTTTATTTTTATTATTTTTATAGTTATTGTCTAAAGGATATTATGGAAAAGTTATAGTGACCTGGCTGTATATGTGTCTACAAATTAAGAGGTTTAATTGGTTAATTAATAAAAACAACATTTGCTTTGAAAATACCTATTGTTGGACTGATTTGTAATAAGTTTTTTAGACCTTAAATAGTTTCTATTTATATAATTATTATTATTATAATTCCTCCTGTATATAAATTAATTAGATAGTCTTTATTATTCTTTGGTTGGATATTTAAGTGTATAATTGATAATTATGCTTTTCCTATTTTAGTCAATGAAAGTCCAATTGTTGTTACTTCCATTTTGGGTAAGTTCAATTTCCAGAGAAGTATTATAAGACTAATAAGATTAAATATTTGATTGTATTATTAATCATTGGGGTTATACAATAAAATATTAAAGAAGATAAAAGGTAATGAAAATTTTTGTCAATAGCTTCAATGATATCTCCTGTTTTCTTGAAGTTGTTTAATGATAGCTGCAGAATTTCATTCTTGTATAAAACCCAATATATTCATTTTGCTTGTTCTTTAGGCTAGATTTGAGTGATTTTTTATTTATAATAAAGACTATATTTTATTATATCATATCTCTATATATAATTCCATATAATTCTGACTACACTACATATCTATTCTACATATACACTACACATATTCTCAATTTAATACTTACTAAACTTACATATCTCTAAACTCTTATACTTAAATATAAATATATATTCTAATTTATATTCGCTTACTGTCCTGATTTAGACCAGCACTGTCAATTGATCTTTACTCTTCCGCAGACAGTAACACCAGCCTATATGTAAGTTACAAAAAAGCTTTAAAGCTAGCTGAATCATGTGGTATCTTTACTAGCATTATATTTTAATATAACTAAAATTTAGTTAGTGAAATTAGTCAATTTAACATTAGTTAACTTAGCTGGCTTAGCCGGATAAGTCAGCCAATTTTTTAAAACCGGCTTAGATAAATTTAATTGTGTAGCAACTCATGCCACTAAAAAATAATATTTTGTTACTTGACTATACAATACAATAAACAATACATCAAACAATACATCAAACAAAAAACACTATAAAATACACATATGGGATATCCTGCTTTGCTGTTTATGTGATCATTAGTCATACCTAGAATTGAATACTACTACCGTTATTTGATATCCAACCTATTCGGTTAGGTAATCAACCACCTATTTGATATTCAGGTTGTCCACCTAGGCTATCAACCCCAAAACCGAGCTAAAACAAACTTCTGAACCAACCCTCTTTAAATAGCTATTAAACATGACTTCATACTTATCAATACTCATTTAATTACATTCATCAAACATTATACCAAACATTATAACTTACCAAACCGGTTACTACATTATTACCTTATTTACTATCACTTACCCTGTTAGACTGACATCATGAGTCTGGATACTGGGTTATGATCTTATAACAAATGGATGCCTCGTGACTTCGTTTACGACATTACATTTGTCACTTGACTATACAATACAACGAACAATGCATCAAACAATACATCAAGCGAAAAACACTATGAAATACACATATAGGATCATCAAGAGAATTGCTTGCATTCTCCCTTACCCTGTCTCTGCTATGCATATAAAGCATTGCACATTTTCTAATTTCCTCTATATATCAATTAAATACACCTAAAATTCTATTTTAACTGACGCTTCCTCTTTTGTAGTTTTCACGGCTCTAAGATAAAGCATAACTGCCTTCAACTCCCAACCCCCGATAGTCCTTATCTGCGTTAACAACATACCGCCTTTCATAGCTGCTGTTGCACCCCAATTCGCAAACTATAAGATGTAAAACGACCATTAATTCCTACTCTCTCCGTTATACATTTAATAATTGCTGAAACTGCTGCCACCAACATTTCCTCTTTTTTATTCGATAAAAACAACAGATTCTCATTTGCCATAAATGGCCTCACACTTAAATACTTCCTGAGTAGCCTTATTGGACAAATTTTACCCCCGACGGCTCAACTAGCATGAATCTCTCATTTGCAAAAGAATTACTTTTTGCTTTTCTTACCCTAACCCACAACAACTCTGAGGCCTCCGCATTGTATAAAAACCAATTGCTACTAAAGCTAAATCTCTATACCAGATAACTGGGTCAACCTTTTCAGGTGGATTATTAAGATACTACTTCAAAGCTTCTAAGGAAAAAGGGTCCTGCGGCCACTCTGCTTCACGGTTCTAAGCTCTTACTAATCTAATGCCTCTAACAACTTCCTTTATTTTAAAATTTTCTATTGGATTAGTTAAACCTTTCTTTTTATGCATTTTTTCTACAGCACCAAGATAAACTTGTACTTGCGAAATTAAACCTGCCATTTCCAACTACCCAAGAAATGCCCTAACTGTATTTGTACTTGCTAGACATGACACCTCCTTCGCCCAATTCCAAAATTTAACAAACACCTGCTGAGCCTTATCCAAACATAATCTATAGCTCTTATTTATAGCCTGAAATGCCAAACTATCTGTATGCTCTAGCAACACTTCGACCAGCTTATCCTTGCTGCCAGAAGTTTTTATAACAAATTTTTGCATAGCTCTCTCTGTCCTGATGGCCCCGGTACAATAATTTCTATGGCTGGTAGTAACTCCACTACTTTTTTTGGGGCTGCAATTAAGTTGATGTTAATGCTGGTAGAAATTGTCGGCCTATATTGTAAGTTTTAACGACCCTAGTATGAACCTTTTTTTTTTTTAAGAAAAAAAAAAGACTTACTAAAACGCATCTATGGTGTTTTACACCTATGTGTATATATTATCTCAAAAACTGGCTAATTGATCATTGCAAGATGTTCTAAATAAAAATGCTAAAACCCCTCCCAAACCCTAACCTTAACTTTAAATGCCAACACTAACATGAAAATTTTGTGTTGAAAATTTTTATATTCAAAACTTAGAAAAATCAAAAAACATAATAAAACATATAATAGGTGCAAAACCACTATAGGTGCGTTTTATAATAAATGAAAAAAAATAATTTTAAATTAGATTATAAACTAGAATTTGGGGACCTTCATATGAGTACACTATACATTGAACAAAAAATTTATCAAACTTTACGCTCTAATGGTGATACACAAAATCATAATTGGTCTAAGCGCAAACCATCATCATTACTGCGAACAAAAGTCCCAATAAAAAAGGCACTAAAATATTTCTGTTGCGCTTTAAAATAGGAATGGCATTAACACTTGAAATTTAATCATATTATCAAAGTTGAATGTTTATTATAAATATGAGTAGCTAAAAAAACAATTACAAATATATATTATTCTCATATTACGATATAAATAATTGCATGTCAAGTTTTAAACATAAAAATTTCTACTATATAATACAATTTTAGAGAGTAGATAAAACATGATATAAATGAAAATATGAGATTATAAGACAAAAAATCGACAATTAATAAAATATTTTCATTAACGAGATGATCTATAACTATCATGCCTTCTGATGTCTGCCGCTACTAATTGGAATATGTATTGTGCATCATGATAAGGATGTTGCATAACTGCTTGTATTGCATGTTTTCCTGAAGAATTATCGTTCAAACATCGCATGTTCTTTCCCGCTATTACTTGCAATAGCTTTCCCTAAAAAGCAATAATAATAAACTGTGAACAAAGATATTATCGTACTTTTGCAAATGTATCAATAATAGAAGTTTACTAACCGTCTCAACGTCATGTATCTCGATAAACAACGGATCAAAACCAATAATATAGGGAAGATGCAATGCTACTGCTTCGGGATGACCTTCCCATTCCATCACATCTTTGCGCGATAATTCGCCATGTTTATTAACATAAAAGAATATATCTAAGATAACGTTAATGTTAATATCATCTCTTCCAATAAGAATTTTCGAACTTGAAAAAATCACCGTATTGTCGCAAAATAACAGGTGTAATTTCAAATTTTGGCCTAATTAAGCTTAATTCGGGCCGTTATACTAAATAACGCCCATGCGTTATTCCTCGCGACAATATGGTAAAAAAGAAATTAATGGTTACCGTCATAGCATAATAAAAATTCATCATCATTCAATCTAAACATTCCAAGTGGTTTGGATGTTTCTAGTCTCCTCCCCAATTGAGAGAATGATGGATCCGCGGCATCGGGAATAGTTACATTTTGTAGAGTATCCAAATTTACGATTTCGAACCCACGTGTACATACGACACAAAGTTTAGACCTTAGGAAATTCACCGAATATGATTCGGATGGGATATAAAATTGCTAATATGTATAAGCAGTATAAACTATCAATTAAATAAGAAAAATAAAAATACTATAACGTATAAAATGAAATATTACCTTGTACTCCTTGAACCATTCAGTTTTTGAATGAATTAAATTAGCAAACGCACCACGGCGTGAAGATGATGTTTTTGATTTATCACTACTTGAGCCAACAGCGCATATAGGCTCCAAAGCCTTAAAGTGACTTTCTAAACCCCTCTTTTTCATGTATACCACTAAAGTTTTTTCCTTTGTAGAATTCCTTTCCTTTATAACGCCAACATTAAAATATTGGACATTGTTATTAGCACTTAGGCGTTGGCGATATGGTTGGTTAGAACTTCCACTTGACGATGATGATGGTATTATAGCTTCCAGAGAAAATGCCCAGAGTGTCCTATCTGTATAAAATATATATATTTAATTACGAATCTCTTACTTAATCCTCAATACATAAATACTCACCACATAACACGACAAATATTCCAAAATCTTCAAGAACTGCCATCTGGGTCACATTACTGACAGTTAAAACTTGCTTGAAAGTCCCCACTTCTCCTCCGAATCCCATCCAAACACCATCTTCAGCCCCAATAGCGACCATGTTACGTTTCTCTGCTGTAACTAAAATGATTTGAAAATAAAGCATGCGATTAAACACATGCATAAGCCAATGTATGGTTTTAAATTAACAAACTAAGACTTACCGAAGGGTACGGAACAAGTCACTTTGCTTCTTGATATAGATGCTCCTGATGTTCCAACATTAGCTGAAGATACACCACTTACGAAGGTACAATCATTTAATGTAAATATTTCAAATATCTGTTTATTAACATCATCGTTCGATAAAAGCTTGGTTTGTGCGTCTTGTATTCTATCTTTCCATAGTCTCCGTGTATTCGCTGAATCAGCAAATAATTGATATTGACCTCCATGTCGCCCAATGTGAAGGATAGTGAACGGATACCGACCATAAGTGCTGTCTTGGCCTTCAAGATCGGTAATAATTTGTGGTGAACTAGGAGATTGCATTGTACTATTAGTTCTTGTCCGAACTTTATCAAGTGGTTTAATATTGATATGAAACGTTGCAGCCTTCGTTTGTAGGGTTTCGCTAGGAGTATCTATAATGAGGAAACTTAAAGGAATGGGCTTTATAAAGGCGAAATTAAAAGTTAGCACACGTAAATCGCAAATACTAATATATATGATTTTAATATACCTTTTTTGATATAAAATATTTCATCTCGCCATCAGGCCCCTTCTTTTCCTTTGTCATGACCAAATAATTATCAAAGAGAAATACTAATAGATCCTGTTTATCAAGATTAGTTCTCTTTTGTAATTCACCCTTGAATAAAAGTTGTCGATTTGGATCGGAAAGATTAAGCTCATTCTAAGTAATATAAATATAACAAGAGAAAAATTTAGACGCTTAATTTGCAAATAACAAAGCTTTATGTATATAATCACTCAATTTATTCGTACGTAAGGTCCTCCATCTTTTTTGACCAATTTACGTTCAATTTCCAATATCTTCAGTCGATTTTCGGCTTCGTGAACTCTATTATCGCTTACAACGCATTGTTGACGAATTGTTTGCAGAGCATCGTCAAGATATTCTTTATCTTTGTTATTATCTGGTGTATGCTTCTTAATCTGTTCAAGTAATAATGTATATCGTTGTAAACGTGTAGTAGGCCGTTGTATGAAATGACGAAAATCAAGTCTGCGAGCTTCTTTCGACCGTGAACATTGCTATTTAAAATAGTTTATGAATTAATAATGTACCAATTTAACATAGATCAGAAATAATAATTATAATACCTCCAAGAATCTTTTAAATTCAGGATTCCTTAATTTAGTAGCCTTAATAAGATTGTCAGCGATGGGAAAATGTCCGTTGTAATCTATATAATCATTACCAAATTCTACCGCGCAAGCAAAAAATATGTCCCCTATAACTTTCACCACTGGATCTTCCTTTTGTCGCCTTTGTAGTTGTTCAAGCATTTTTCGATTATGGTCACGAATTTTTAAGACGTTAAAGAAAATTTCTTGAATGAAGCCTTCAAGTTGAGGCGGAGGAATAACTGGCGGTGAAGCTGTATAAAGTCCCTTTATATAAAGCTATCAAAGGATTAAGAAAACAGACATATTAGTTATTTATTAATATATATACATTGCAACATATATGTATATATCACCTCTTCTATGAGATCTAAGTCCTTCACATAATCTTCTTCTGTATATATAGTTTCAAAAATAATTTCCTGACGTTTTATTTCTTCTTTGCTAAGAGACTCCAAGATTTCCTTCGATACAGATCCGACCCATGTACGGTCCTGAGTCTTTTTATATACATGCATTAATTGTCAGATAATTCTATTTAAT